CGCTTGTGACTCAATTCCCGCGCGTGAGCAGGTGACGACCCTCTCACTTTATATACCACACTCTTGTGCAACAATTTGAGATAATTGGCATGTGGATTTACCTATACCTACAGTTAATGTCTTTTCAATATCAAATGAATACTGCTTTCTTTGCAGCTAAAACATTTTTATTTCACCATCAATCATATCCTAATGTATTTCATCATCAAACAAAACTATCATCGTTTATCTATTTATATAACTATGTTACAGGGAGTGGTGATGGTAACCAAGAACAACAAGATGATGACATAGATGGTCTGGGAAATACCAAGACACTCAAAGTGATTCATTTTGGACTTGTATAAAACTGAGAAATAGTGAAGCACCCTCAAGTGGCAGAGAATATACTTCAATTTTGTCTGCTTTGCAGATTTGTGAAAAATAAATAAAATTAAATCTTATCTAAAATTAAATTACATTTTAAAAATGTGATTAAGCAAATTTACAGTTTTACATTATTTTGAGAATTATAAATTTATTTCAGTAATTGTAATTATTTTTAAAATGAATTTTTATTTTTAGTACCGGTAATCCGGTAGTCTCAGTGGTGGTTACTCATTCAAAGAAACATTCTTTGTGTCTACTTTTTTTAATACTCTAACTGACTGACTCATGAACTCAACAAGCTCATTGTTTCTTTAACTGAATGTAATTTTAGCTGAGGGATCTGAAAAGAAAACTAATAATGCCAAGATAGTACCAGTATATACATGTACTGTAAAATCTGTATTAGAAGCTGTGACTTAAAATGTTACAATGCAACAGAGGGGATGCGGCTTTTATTAGAACATCTACACATATGACAAACCATGAATGTTTGGTTCTGAATTACTCAAAATAAATGGGTGGGACTTCTGTTAGGGATGCGGCTTCTAATACAGATTTTACAGAGTTTACTTATATGATTGATTGTGTCTAGCATTGTACACGTGTTAACACGATGCCTGCTGATACCATTATACCAATTAAATTTGCTGTCTTGTAGGGGATTTCATCAGGTGATGGGTTAATAGTGGCTCGGCATTCATCTTTAACAATGAAGCTGAATAGATTGAGATATTAGCACCACATGAGATTGAAAGTAATTTCTCCACATGAACAGTATTAGTTAAAGCTGCTCAAATTGGGAGGGAATATTGCCCTGTCACTTAGAGGGCACACTGGAGAGGATATTTTCCCACCCCACCCCACCCCCATAGGGTGGGTAGTCTGGTGATACTGATATCTGTTTCTGTATTATGTTAGTTAGACTGGCACTGTCTGGACGATTTATTTTGTTTTAAGGTTTAAATTAAATAAAAATATCACAAAATGGAGGAGGCTTTCACCCTGAATTTTGCAAAACTATTTTTTTTCCCAAGTTTGTTATTATTATAATTTAACTAAAAAAATCATACAGCTGGGCCAGTCTAGGTGTTAGTGTCAGTTAAGACTGATCAAATGGGGGGGGGGGGTCCCCTCATCCTTCACCTCTATATGGGGTGAAGTCTACATGGTTTTAATTATATCTATGTCTGTATGCTATTATAGTGTCAGTTAAAACTGATCAAATGGAAAGGGAGTATTGCCCCGCCCTCCACCCCCATACAACGTGCAATCTGCATAATGATATCCATGTCCGTATGGTGTTAAGTGTCAGTTAAAACTGATCAAATGGAAAAGGGAATATTGCCCCGCCCTCCACCCCATGATATCTACGTCTGTAATGTGGTTTCACTTTTAACTCAACAATTGAATCATTCAAGTATAACCTAGTACAGACATGCTTATTGTGACATGGTTCACTAATCTAGCACCTGTATCATTTAGGGAAGCCACAGCTAAATTTGAAGGATGACCATTTAAATTGCCTGTATAAAGAGATGCAGTGAAGGAAAAAAATCAAATGTAAATCACATTAAAATGATGTTTTAATCAAGCTTTTATTTTTATACATTACATAGCAATATTTAAAATATCACAGTTATCTTAAATATGTGCTCTAATTTATTGGATTGTGATAACCATATTTACTCTAATAGAAGTGAACATAAACCAAAAAAATTGCATTTATTGCACGATGTGTCATTATATGACTTACTTTTGACACACTGTTGTCATTCATTCAAGTACATGTTCTACTAATAGAGCAAATATGGTATTTTTTGGTATATTTTCAGGACAGTATTTTCTGCACATGTCTATGGGGCGGGTCCCATCCAACTTGGCTAGTTTCTATAGCAACTAATTTTCGGGAGCTCATAAATGCTAGTGTACGGCATACTTACAGGCATGCTAAATACAAACCTTAGTATTACTTTAGTAAAAAGTTTCAAGTTGTCTTACAGAATACCCATAGGAACAGAAATCATTACTCAATAATAGAACCTTTGGCCTGTTAATAGTGTGGGTATTTGACAATTCCCATGACCCCATTTCTGATATTTCATTTTGTATTACTGGTATGTGATTAACATATGGTCTTTGGTATTTGTCTGATCATGTTTGTACATATGGGATAACAGTTGATTTGAATAAAATAATTTGATCTCTTTTTATTCCGTCTTGTTTGTGCAGTTTTTTTTAGTTTTTTTTTTCTTCAATGATTCTGTCAACATGTTACCTACATTTTTGGCAGTTTGCCTTGTGTTTTTCTGTAAGACTACATGTATATCATGGGACAGCTTGTGGATAAGGTGAGATTTATTTTATGTTTTCAAGAGAGAGTTCTACTCCCGTTTCCTGTCAATGTTCCTGCCTCTCGTTTCAAAATAGGCATTGGTATAGTACTGGGAAACTGAGTTTGATATACAGCACCATACGAGTATGATTCTTAAAATGGTGTTAATTATTTCTCCAACTCCAAACCATGTTGAAAAACGAATTGCAAGTTCCAATGCTAGGGTGAATACCGATAGTGAGCAAATTCGCTTTTATCATGCATTTGACATTGCTGATTAATTGCTTTCCGAGTCTTATTTGGCTTTGGCTGTAACATGATAAAAGTGAATTGGCCTGCCGCACAAGCTCAGACAATATATAACTTGTTTGAGTTTATTAATAATGGCACCGTTTTATGAAGGCGTGATTATTTTTTATGGAATTTAGAAAATATTTATAAAACATTTATCAAGGAAAACCTTTCTTCTAACAAATTCAAAGAAGATGAATCCATTGGCTAAAAATGCCAATTTGGTAAAACCTATTACATGTACCTACAAGTCTTCAAAGTTTTTTTTTCAATCATAAGCCGATTTACTGCCATGCATGCTAAAAATATTCGGTATGGAAGGCATTCATTCACTAAGTGCTGTGATTGGTCAAGTTGGTCAGAGATGTTTTCAATCATTATTTGGAATTTATAAAACATTTCTATATAAAAAATATTCATGCCTTATGAAACTGTAAGAATGATATTTAATATCCTTAAAAGTTAGAATATTAGATACATTTAATTTAAAATAATTTTAGACAAAAATATGCAAATATTGATTCTGGCTTTCATCAATTATTGAAAGATTTAAAATATATTTGATAATTTTTTTGATTTGGACCAATTGAAATGTAGGAAAACTCTTAGTACTGGAAATGCAATATTTATGAACTGATTTTTAATTTCACTATTTTCATTCATCAGTGAAATTGGCTAAATTAAATACATGTGAACATGGAGAATAACAATAGAACTCATTGTTTCCTTGACAGTTCATGAACTTAAAACCCTGTGAAATTGCTCAAAAATGCAATATAGTGAAATTAAAAGTTTACACAGTACTTGGGGAAAACCAAAGTTTACGGAAGACTACATTTCGAAGCAGGGGGGATAACATTAATAAAGCTCATCTAATGAACATATGGCATGTACTCGTTGCTGTGGTTTCATTTGAAATACACACATTCTCATTATATATTTTAAAAATGCATTCGCATTGTGTAATTATTAATTTTACTTCTCCAAGTCCGACATATTTCTCACTCAATGGATTAAAGCGATATACCGGGTATCCGTATCATTTACCCACAATGCTTTATTGCAGAGCAACAACATGGAGGACGGCTTAGGTAAGTGTTGGCTCTCTCCTCTTTCGACTCTGTGTGACGAAGTATGAAAGCGATCTCGTGTCTGATGCTGCTGGGGTCATGCCTTAATTGTCAGATGCGTTCCTGTCTCCTTTGGTCGAAAAGACTTTCTTTGACATATCGATGAATGACTTTTGAATTCCTGTGTACCGTTCAATGAACTCTGGTATTATTCGATATCACCCCCCTTTACCTCCAACATTTCATACTCTGCGATCAACGTAATCACCATTCGCGTGCATGTGAGAAACATATTATTGGCGGGACTCTGCAAGCATGGCCTGAAAGTCCACCGCTGATTACATTTCTGTTCATAGTTTTCTTGACTTTGCTGGTATCTGATGTCGGTCAGGGACATGTTATGGTTGTGATCATGTAATCTGCACTGCTCTTGAATATTTCTTTTTTTGCTTGAGTGTCAGTGCGACAGGTTGCATGGCATACTGCATATTTTTAGATTAGTTAGTATTAAGAATGCACTTGGTTTAACTGAAGCAAAAGTGAACAACCCCACTAAATCATAATAGCACTAAATCTATTACATTCATATGTGTTATGAAGCCAACGAAAAACCTATGTCACCATCTAATAATATTATTTGTCATTATACCATAATAAAATATAACAAAATAAAATTTATTGTAATAAATACAATTCAATTCAAAGGGCTGAGTATATATTGTGATCTCTGTTCCAAACCAACCCATTTTTTGGAAAAAAACAAAATGTTATGTAAATGATCTCAAATTTATTTATTTCTATGCAAATTAGCTATGGTCATTACACTGGTGTGTTTTTTTAATTTCATGTTCTTCCTTCTATGTAGTGAATTTCTAGCACAGCATATTAAGGAAATACATTCTGAAAACTAATTTAAACGTCATTAGGAAAATTAAAATTAATTTCTGTCAACACTACAGTATTTTTTTAGAACGTTACCGGGATATTTGTTTCATTTGATCTTAGTTGAGAAAAAAAATTAGCTAAAAGTAAAAAGACAGTATGAAAGTCTGTAAAAAAGTAATTGATGTGGGTAGTGACTTGCATGTGATATATTTTCAGTATATATAAAAATGAAATGTAAAATAAATGACAAAAAAAATGTAGAAAAAATGACTTTGTTTAGTGTGAATGGTCAACATTAAAATTTATATCATCTCAGTGTATTTAACTGTATGATGTTTACTGCAAGACAGATCTAGGTTGCTTTATAAAAACATTTCAGATTAAAATCTGGCATATGTAATAAAGACCATTTAATAATTTGTCATTTATTTATTTCAATAATTAACTAAATAATGGCTAAATTAAAGTATTTTGAGTGTTCTCATTCAGTGTCATATTTTATCTGACTGATGAGCTAAATCAGTCATAGTAGGGTGTGACTTGGTTCACACAGCTTGTATTTATTTACATGTCCCATGAGAGGTGGACATTGTAGAATGGTGCAATGTGATAAATTACATAAATACAATACATAGACACTAAATACAACTATTTCACAAAATTACAAGGGCATGGCTTTTTTAGCAATGTTTTATGTAATTGATACTAAAGACTGCTTTTATCCTGCGAGAGTAGTTCTCTTATCAACATACCCAATTTCCTGTCCAAACACTGTTTTCTCATTTTTACATTTTATTATTTTTTATACATGCCTTTTTAAAAAATGACCCCTTTCCTTCACCTCCCTCATTCCTTAACTCG